TCCCTCAAATTATCAATCCATTGTTTTGTTAGCGGGCATTCGGCCTTAGCTGTTCTTTCCCCCTTATTATCACAAAAAGTCGTTGTTCAAAGAGTGCTTCCTTCTGCGGACATGACACCTCAGCGTCACTGACCTTGAACGCCTCTGCCCTTCTTGCCACCCTCACCCCATTTGGGCTGTTATATCTATGCCACAGTCCCCCCACCCAGAGGCAACACCCAAGCTCTCGGCCCTCAGAAAGGCTGCTCCCAGGCAGCAGCCTGCCTTACTTCCCTGCCAACACTGGCTTATGGGTCTGCCCTCCCCTGGCGGGGATGGGGACACTTCAGCCCTCCACTCACCTTCTCCAGATTTCTTGCAGCCACAAGAGAAGACTTAGAAAATGCCCCTGTGCCAGTTCCTCGGAGGAAATGTGAGGCCGAAAGTTTGATGGCTTTGGTCTGCTCCTTCCTCTCCCACAGGCCACAGATGGGGCCTCACGGCTTCCAGGCTTGTCCCCTAAGGCTTCTCCCCCATCCAGAGTCCTCAGGCCCTCCCTCTCCAGAGCACCCCCCCAGGGATGACCCCTCACTACAGCGGCAGCTCAGCCTTTAGGGGTGCAAAGCACTCCCCAGGGATGACCCCTCACTACAGCGGCAGCTCATCCTTTAGGGGTGCAAAGCACTCCCCCAGGGATGACCCCTCACTACAGCGGCAGCTCAGTCTTTAGGGATGATAGGAACTGCTCAGGCCCCTCCCCTGGGTTTGGAAAACTTTCCCTAACCACTTTCTACCCCCACCCTACCGCTTTCTCCATCCCCTTTATTGACTCTCAGAGCCCAGAGCCTGTTAACCCCAAAGATGGGAGGAGAAAGACCCCCGCCCAAATCGCCATGGCTTTTTTTATTCATGTGCATGGGCTGCCTTCCCCTAAGGCAGGGTTCGAGAGGTCAGCATTGGATGTGAGGAAGACAAGGCTTTTATAGCTCAGGGGTAGGGGGTTTGCAAATGGGGGATTTGGTGGGCAGAGTGGGTAGGTTACGAGACCATAAGCCTAGCAAGTTAGTCCCTCCTGAAGCAGACATGGTCGCAAGATGTGCGTAACAAAGTAGTCACAGGTGGCTATGTAACCTTTGGACACAAAGGCAGGGTTGCAGTATGATTATAAACAACTTTTTGAAACAAAGACACGATTGCCATCCCTGGAACAGTACAGAACCTTTGTAGTCAAGGTCACAGGCGGGCCCTTGGGAAGCAGAGGTTTAATCACGGACAGCAGTGAGCCCAGTTTGTCTTCACCATAACATAGCTTAGGGAGAGGCAGGCTGGTTCTTCAAGTCCACCCCTGAAATGGCAGCTCTCCCGAGGTCCTGGGTTCCTCTCCTTTGGGGCCTCTTGTGGGTGTGACAATGTTGGGGACACCATCTTTCCCAGGCCCATTGCACTTCCCCTTCGATTTCAGGCTCCTATGTGGCCACTCCCTCCGGACATCCCAGACCAACTTTGAAATCTCAGATGTCTTTTGAGTAAGGCTGTCTTTATATTTTATGTTTAGAACATGAACACAAACCGAAAGTGTTTGCTCTTCCTAATTTGATCACACTGAAGGACTCAGCAGACTTAACAGGGGGGTGCAGAGGGACGTGGCCACCACCATGGGCACTGGGGTGGAGTGTCCCATGTTCCCCGAGAGATGAGTCAAAAGCCCCACAGACCCAAAGTCTTTCAGAAGAAGGAAATCTGCATTTACAAAGTCCAGAAACCACACCGGAGACAAGAGCTGTGTCTTGAGACAAGAGCCTGGCAAGGGATGGGAGTCCCATCCTGGGCAGTCTGAAACAGCTGGGCCACCATCCTCTCCACCACCAAAGGCTGGTCAGGCTTCAGTAAGAAGCAGAAGACCTGAGAGCAGGGTAGTGGCCTGTTCCTGGACCCAAAGAGGACAGCCAGGCCCCCACAGGGGCAACCCAGGCCTGCATGCTAGCTGGGACCCAACCAAGCAGGTCAGAGGAGGTGGGAAACCCAGGCAGGGGGCCCCTCTGGAGATACACCCTAGAGAAGAATGTGAGAAGGAGCAGAAATGAAGTGAAGGGCCAGCTCCGCCTGGGACCCAAGAGGCTGAGTTTTGTGGGTGACACTTCAAGGAGGAAGAGCTTCCTCTCTGGGGTCCCTGCCCCACCTCTGTGGCTCCCCGAATTCCTCCTGGATTGTCCGCTGGGACTGCTGCTCCAGGCCTCAGTACAGACAGCCATCATGGCTGTCCCCGTGCAGGGAACGTTTGTGGCGGGGGGGGGGGGGGGGGGGGGGGGGGGGGGGGGGAAGGGGGGGAGGGGGGGGGGAGGGAGGATGAAGGCATTCTCGCCTTCCTCCCAACACTTGAGACCCTCCCTACCCCTGCCCCCAGCCAGGCAGGGATGGAGCAAAGAAGAAATGGGCAGGTCCCGCAGGACCAGGTTTTAAGGAGGAAGAAATCTGAGACAGAAATATGTGTCAAAGTCATGAATGGACGGAGAAACGGGTCACCAAAAGGACACTCCAAAGCAGGGCTGATTGTAGAGGCCACTCAGTGGAGAACTGTCACTCGATGGTGACCTGAGGCGCTATGATGGAGCTGCCATAGTCCACACCACTTATGTGAATGAGGAATTGGTAGACCAGAGAGATACATCATAATGGGCAAGTGGCAGAGCCTGACTCCCAGAGTGGTCTGTGGTAGAGACCGAGGGGCCTGTGTAGACCCTGAGCACGTGGGGCAGGGAGGAGTGAAAGGTCGCCAGGAGAATCTGTCCTCTGACTGTTGCCATAGCAGGATGTTGCTGTTGGGAACACGCTTGCTCGGCTTGTTCTGTCCCCAGCAAGGTCCCCTGTCGGTTTCTCTAACCCCAAGAGACTGGCAGCTGAGGCAGCGGTGGGGTGGGTAGGTGGGGTGTCATTAGAAAGAAGAGGGCTGAGCTGGCCTGTGTGGCATCTGGCTGCCCCCC